AGATTCGGATTTGTGCATTTCTTGGATGTTAAAGACAAAGAGGAATTAGAAAGGAAACTTGATTAGATCTGGATCAATGACCGCAAGTTGTGGGTGAATACCCCATGATATGATACCATGTAGATGAAGGATATGGAGCGCAGAAACACCCAAGGACTGGAACTGGAAATTTCTCAAGGACTGAAGCCAAATATACATAGTAGGAGCTTTGCTGATTTGGTGAAGGGATCTTGAAGCATTGATAGCAGGAAAATTTGGCAAGAAAAAAGACAAGGAGAGAACTGGTCAGGCATGGAGTATAAGGTGAAACCTGAAGAATATGCATGGCTTGAAGGAAGTTATGTAGGTACAGTTCACTCTGTTGAGATGGTTAGGAATTTGCAGGAGAAATTTTACATGGAAGGCTATTTTTATTGTCGAGTTCGAGTAATGGGGGGTAAGTTAGTGCTACTCGATTGTGATGACAAAGAGGAACTAAAGGACTTGGTGGAGATGGCCTCAAACTGGCTTGGACAATGGTTTGAAGAGGTGGGCCCTTGGACACTAGATAAGATAACATCTGAGAGGTTTGTATGGATTAGATGTCAAGGAGCACCATTGAATGTTTGGGGATCAGACTTCTTTGCAAAAATGGGATGCTCATGGGGTAAATTCATGTGCTTGGATGACAGTATAAGTCAAAGAAGGAGGTTTGACATTGCAAGAATGCTGATTTCCACTTCGATAATAGAGACAATATCAGTTAAACGTCAGATTAAGATCAATGGGTCTATTTACAACATAAGTTTCATGGAGAAGGAGTTCACCAATAGCTTTTTCTCCTTGAAATAGGATTTCATACCTGCACTCTAGAGTGATTCCGAAGATAATGAATCTTGGTCGGCAAAAAGTACCAAAGAGGATCATGAATTTGAAATTGCAGATGGGAGAAGGTAGGCGTTGGATGAACCTGATGATGTAGAGGTTGAAGAAGACGACGTGGAAAGCTGCATAAGGGAGAACAACAGTGAACTCCAGCCCCAAGATCCACAAGAGGATGATAAGACAACTAAAGCAGTGCCTAACAATATAGAAAAAGTTCAAATTGTGAATGATGGTGAGCATAAAGCAAGGGTAGAGAGGGTGGCGCAAAAGAGTGGGAAATTGCTTGTCATTGTAAGAATTGATAAAGAGGGGGAGAATCAATTGGGCTTGGTGGAGCACATAAGTAGGAAGCCACATGAGGAAGTTAACAAAAAGAGAGAATGCCCAAATTATGACCCAACTTGTGAGGAATCAATAAATATGGGCCAGGCCTAAGAAAGAGTAGGGGAGACAAGCCCAACAACTAATAGAAGGAAGGTTAAAACCGATAAAAAGATGGATCTCTTAGTTAACAGTGATGATGAAATTGGGGACTCTTTTTGGAGAGGATCGGAGAGTGATGAAGGGCATCTTGAGGGTGGGATGTAGAAGCAAGTAGAAGGAAATCAAAAAAGAAGGAAGAAGAAACTCAGAACATGCCAATCGGTGCACCTATATGATGGCGTCGTCCAAAAGGAAACAATAAGGAAAAATGGGCAAGGACGACAGAGCAAACAGTCAACGGAGGGGGTGATTGTGCTGGATTTTCTAGCAAGCCCCAACAGCGAAGTTGTTGGTGAATTTGTAGATGATAGTGGGATCCAGAATTGTAATAGATCTTTGAAAAGGAAGATGCAACAGAAGTTAGCTAAGGACATTTGGGAGATAGCCTAGCAACTGGGAGCGACAACAGAGTTAGATGGGGAGGTAATTCGAAGAATTGATGATATGGAGAGAAGAGATAGCCAAGCCAAAGCAGACACAACGAAGTAGGAAGCTGGAGATGTGAAGAAGGTATGTATTGATTCCAATGTTAATGGTATCATTTAACATTAGAGGCTTAAGAGGGGTTGGGAAAAAAAGACATATTAGGGATATAGTGTTGAAAGGGAAGGTGGAATTTTTAGCTATTCAAGAGACTAAAATGGAAGTAATTGATAGAAATTTGTATAGAAGGGTATGGGGGATTGAGGATTTCGATTGGATTTCCAAACCATCTATTGGCTTGTCTGGAGGATTGTTGTGTGCGTGGAATAATAAAGTATTTAAGAAGGAAGAGGTGATAGAGGGAGATTATTTTATTGGGGTGTTTGGAACATGGGGAGGGGAGGCAACACTTGTTTATATTCTTAATATTTATTCTCCATGTCATTTGTCTAGTAAAAAAGCCCTTTGGAAGGAGCTGTAGAATCTGATCTCATATAGGAAAGGCAACTGGTGTTTGGGGGAGGATTTTAATGCTATTCAGAACACAAGGGAGTGGGATGTCCAGAGAAATGAGGGAATTTGATAGCTTTATTAATGAAGCTAGGTTGGTTGATTTGCCTTTGATAGGAAGGAAATATACTTGCTGTAACTCTAATGGGTAGTATATGAGTAGGATTGATAGGTTCTTGGTTTCAGAAGATTGGCTTATGAGATGGTGTGATGTAAAACAGTGGGGTTTGAAAAGAATAGTATCAGATCACTGTCTTGTTTTATTAAAGAATGAGAGGTTGGACTAAGGGCTAAAACCTTTTAAGTTTTTCGATGCTTGGCTACATGATCCTAGGTGTAGGGAGCTAATTAGAAACATATGGAAGTCCACGGCAGTTGAGGGATGGTATGGATATAGCCTTAAAGAGAAGCTAAAAAGTACCAAGAAAGCTTTAAAAGAATGGAGTGGCAACTCAATGACGAAAGGGGAAAGGAAAATAATGGAAGCTGAGAGCGTGATAGCTCTATTGGATGAAAAAGGAGAAAATGCCCAATTGTCACTAGCTGACATTGAAAAGAGGAGAAGTTGTTTTCTTGAACTATGGAATAACCTCAAATTAAAAGAGAACATGTGGCAACAAAAATCAAGAAAGATGTGGTTAAAAGAAGGAGATGTGAATACTAAATTCTTCCATAAAAGTGTAAAGGGAAGATGGAGAAAAAATAAAATTAACAGCATTCAGATTAATGGTGAGCAACATAGGGGCGTGGGTGAAATAAAAGAAAAGGTGGCGAGTTATTTTGAGGAGCTATTCACAGAGGACAGGTGGCAAAGGCCCAAGCTTGACAGAATCAGCTTCCAACAGATTAATATGACAGACAATGAGTGCCTCACGGCTACATTCTCTGAAGAGGAAATCAAAAATGTTGTATGGGATTGTGAATCTTTAAAGTTTCCAGGCCCAGATGGATTTAATTTCAAATTCGTGAAGAGCACGTAGGAAGACATAAAAACCGAGATTGTTGGTTTTATTAAAGAGTTCCAGGAACAAGGAAGGCTTGTAAGGGGGTCAAATGCCTTTTTCATAGTTCTAATCCCCAAGGTAGTAAACCCTCAAAGGATTGAAGAATACAAACCCATCTCACTTATCAGAGTTATGTATAAGATAATTGCAAAGCTACTAGCAAATCATCTTTGAAAAGTGTTGGACAAGGTTATCGAAGAGCAGCAGATGGCATTTATTGGGGGTAGAGAGTTGATGGATGGAGTGGTGATTGCCAATAAAGTGATTGATACGGCGAAGAGGAAAAAAAAGAAGAGCTTCCTTTTCAAAGTCGATTTCGAAGAAGCATATGACAAGGTGAGCTAGGAATTCCTAGATTATATGCAAATGAGGATGGGATTTTGTGAAACATGGAGAAAATGGATACAGGAGTGCCTACAATCCAATATGGTATCCATCATGGTCAATGAAAGTCCTTCAAGACAATTCCTGGTTAGCAAAGGCCTTCGCCAAGGTGACCCGGTATCTCCATTCCTATTCCTGATTGTAGCGGAAGGATTAAATGGGTTAATGTTTTTTGCAGTGGAGAAGGAGTTATATAAGGGCGTAACAGTTGGCAAGGAAGCTGTGATGGTGACCTACCTTAAATTCGCAGATGACACCATGTTTTTTGGGGAGGCAACAGAAGACAACATATGGGTGATCAAAAGCATAATGAGGACTTTCAAGCTACTTTCAAGATTGAAAATAAATCTACAAAAGAGCCAACTTATGGGCATCGGTGTTGAGGAAGGTTAGGGAAGAAAAATGGCCTATAGATTATGCTGCAAAGAAAGGGAATTTTTGATTAAATATTTGGGAATACCCATTGGGGGAAACCATAGAAGGCTTACAATGTGGCAGCCTCTACTAGACTCCTTTAAGAAGAAGCTGACAAGCTGGAAAGGTCAACAACTTTCTCTTGGTGGTTGGATCACACTCATTAATTCTATGTTGTCCAGTTTGCCTGTGTTCCTGATGTCAGTCTACCTAATCCCTAAAGGTATTCTCAACTCTTTTGATAAAATTCATAGGAGTTTTTTATGGGGTGGGGAGGGAGAGGGAAAAAAGATTAATTGGGTAGATTGGAAAAAGGTTTGCAAGCAAAAAAATTATGGTGGGCTAGGAGTTAGAGATCTTAGGAAGTTTAATTTGGCATTGATGGGTAAATGGTGGGGGCGGTTGGCAGCAAAAGAAGAAGGCTTGTGGAGGAAAGTTATTGTAGGTAAATATAGTGAAGGAGGGGGCATTGGATGGATTGGGTTAGAAATGAAGCAGGAGTTAGCTCATTTTGGTGGAGAGATGTTAGAGGTATTAATAATGTAGAAGGGGAGAATGCAGGGTGGTTTTCAAAGGGCTTTAGGTTGAAGTTAGGAGAAGGGAAAGACGTGAGTTTCTAGTGGGATGAGTGGTGTGGGGAGGGTTATCTTGCTAATAGATTTCCAAGATTATATCTCTTATCTGCAGGGGAGAAAGAATGCTACCAAATGGGCAAAATGTACAATGGAACATGGAAGTGGAACCTTACATGGAGAAGAAAGTTGCTCGAATGGGAAAAAGAGGATGTAATAGAACTCAATACGGTGATTGAGGAAGTGAAGATATCTCCCAACTGCCCTGATAAATGGGAGTGGTTACATAGCAAGGATAGCCTTGATTCAACTACAACGGCAAACACACTTTTGGCAAAAGAACGGAGGTGCCCGATTCAAGAAAAAATCTTTAAGAGAGTATGGAACCCCACTCTTCCAAGCAAAATTTCTACTTTCAATTGGCAGCTACTACTCAATAGAATTCCAATCAAATCTAACTTGTTGAAAAGATGGATTGACATAAACATGGGTGATGGCAAATGTGACCTTTGCGAG